AGGAGGAGAAGGTTGGAACAGACACCGACGAGACTTTCCATTTCCTGCGGTGAATTATCGCGAGACATCCTCCTCGGCCGGATTCGCGGGGTTGACAGATGTAAACAAACCCCGTAGGAGTGGATTCGTTAAGCTGAGAATAGTCGTTGGGCTGTTGCCATGTCTCGGTTAAACAGAGAAAGTCAAACTTACGGTCGGCGAGGAGATCCTGGATGAGATGTCCTTTGCTCGTGAGTGAGCAGATGTTGAGCAGGCCAAAGTTGACGGAGTTGTCGCATCTGGGAGGAGTGTTAGCCGACTGGGCTAGGTAGGCTAGCACACTGTGGTCAGCGACCCGGCCAGCGTGGGGGGCGACGAGAGGTGGACCAGATGGACTTTATTGTGTTCGAGGTGTCTTCGTGGATGTTCCGACGAGACCCACGGTGGATATATCTCCGGCGGGGCAGGAAAGCAACGTCCAGGAGGAGAGGCGATGCAGCCGGCGGGGGTGCAGACGGGCGGGGACGAAGCTGGAGAAGCTCCGCAGCGGAGTATTGGAGCAGGCCCATCGCAGGTTGGCGATGGAAATGATAGAAAAGTCCAGAGAAGAACGGACTCGAAGGGCATCCCGCCAGCCAACACCGTGGCGACAAACCCCGCGGGGACTCGGTCGAAGTGGACACAGGACCGGTGACAGTTGTGGATAAAAACAAAAACAAAAAAAAAACCTGAACTAAAAACTTAGTGGCAGCAAGTCGCGCCAGCATTCACGCCCCTGAAATTTAGAAACAAACTCAACACTCTTCTTGGTTGAAAAGCTCTTTCATGTTAGAAGCTAAAAGAATGAAACTGCTGACCTCACCACGATAGGTATATAATACTAATTATAATTTAAAAAATATCGTTGTAACAGACTGAATGTTTGGATATTGCAGTTTGGCCAAAGTAGTGCAGAATACTTTGCCTCCGAAGACATTTACTATTATTAAACATTACATTGTTGCAATAAACTTAGAAGAACACAGGGTCTGATGATCAGAGAACAAAGAGAGGACGTGTTTGGTGCTTTCAGCAAACAGCAATTACTACAAATTAATTTTGTACTGCGCATAATGTTCAAATTTTCCAAAAATTAAACTGGAAACGTCTTGTCTTCGTGTCTGTTTCCAAACCTCTGTGGCACTGCTACATGACGGCTGTTAGCATCATCAAAGGAGTGTGTAGAACAAAAATTTTTTTTTTTTTTTTAATTTGACATGTGGGAATTAAAAACAACAACCAGAAGCTACCAGAACGTAGTTATCCAGTGTTGGTTTCTGATGCGCAACCTGAGTGACCCCACACTGGAGCAGGGTTCCTGTTTCCTGTCTTTAGCGAGCCCTCAGGGGTCCTGCTCTGTCAGGGGGGACAGATATGTTTAGGCCTGTTCTCTGTCCACTTTCCATAATTGTTCTTTAACCTCTGTGGGCAACATGTTGAAGAGGTCCTCTTCTACCACCAGACTCGTTCTCTTCAGCTGTCGACATTCGCCCAGCTCCATGGGCAGACTTTCCAAACGGTTCCCTCTCAGCTCCAGCTGCGTCAGTGAGGTCAACTCGCCGATCCGAGGGGGGAGAGAGTGCAGGCAATTGTTCCCCAAGTTCAAAGTGCGGAGCTTCTTGCACTGAAACAATTCTGTAGGAAGACTCTCGATCTGTATTTAAACAAAATAATGGGATTGTTAAGAAAAATGATAGAAGATATTAAGTACACAAAATTAAGTGCACAAAAAGTTAAGTGAAAAGTCGAGGAGGCTCAACCGCAACCCTATATTTGGGCTTCGCAATGGTGCTTAAACCGACTGTTGATGGTGCGAGAACATTTTCTAATCACCACAGAGATTGAAGCCTACAGACGTCAATGCAAAACATGTATGAACGCAAGAGCTAACGTTAGCTAAGACAGTTTTAGTTCAAGCACAGATACATGTTGTTGGGAAAAATTCTATTATGGATCTCATGTTTTTTCATCACCATTAAATTTTACATTGTTTAAGATGAAAACTGATGCTGAAGTACGTACCCTATTGGCTGTGACCGCTAGATACTGAAGATTCTGTAGGAAGCCA